GTGCGTGTGTGCGTGCGTGTATGCGTGCGTGCGTGCGTGCGTGCGTGTGTATGCGCGTACATGTGAGTGTGCTTGTGTGCGTGCGCGAGTGTGCGTGCGCGCGCGAGCAAGCAGATGTGTGCCTGTGTTTTAACACGACTGTTTACAATTACATGATTTCATAATTTTATTGTCACTCAGCGCTGTTAATGGAAAGTCCCCCGGTTTGGAAGTAACCTGAGTCTCGTTGTAGGCAGGGCGTTGAACTCACGGGGGAAGAACAAAACTAAACGAAAAAAAAACCAAAAAAACAAGACGAAACTAAACAAAAAACTCGTCACAAATCGAGCAAGCTTCCTTCACACCCGCTAGAAAATGTCTTCTGACAAGTCTTCGGGAAACTTTTTGAGTACCTCGACAAGGAAAGAGATTGTGCTCTGCAATGATTATAGACCCATTGCTGTAGCACCATTTTTAAGGGCCTGGATTTTTGTATGTTGTTGTTTTGGGGGTTTTTTTGCTGTTTGTAATTATGTTCTTGGTATGTTTCGTTCTTTTTTTTTTTTCTTTTCTGGAAACACTGTCTGTGATAGAGAAGTAGGAGGATTTCATATGATTGTTGTTCTCTTTTGCTGTAGTCTTAACAGGTTTTGATGATTGAATTGTTGTTGTTGTTGCTGTTGTTGTTGTTGTTGTTGTTGTTGTTGTTGTTGTTGTTGTTGTTAGTGTGGTTATTGTTGTTGGACGGGTGTCTTCAAATTTGAGATTTTCTAACAGTTTTACAGTGCTTGTGGCACAAATGGGTCGCACAATTAATGCCGAAGATTAGAGTTAATATATAGAAGGGACGTCACGAGATTTGGATCCATCAAGCAAGGTTTTCGATTCGCGTCCAGAGGTCGAGTTCGTGCTAAATTATCGATCTTTTGAATTTGTCCATCTCCAGGCACATAAATAATATGACGTCCTGAACTCATTGGCCTAGGTTCTGAACACGAAAAATAAGCGGAAAAAAGGATTAGGTCTAGAGCAGATAAGTCTGAACAGGTTAAAGGTCTCCAATTTTCTGAAATCTGACACGAAATTATCTTTCGATGACGCGTTCAGCATAAGCGCTTACACCCACAGCCCCCCCCCCCCCAACCACAAAAACAATAACAACAAATAGAACAACAACAACAACAACAACAACCCCAACATAAAACCCACACACGCACACGTACGAGTACACGCAAAACTAAACTAGGTCTAACGGAATATACCAAAAAGAAAACTCCGAAAAAACGTGAAAAGATCAACGTATATGCCATTAAAGAGGAGGTTCTTTTAATTTCTTTTCTTTTTTTTTCTTTTGTCAATTATATTGCAGACATCTCAAAATCAACCTTTTCAATCTGTTCGAAACGCTGCACACCTGTTTGCAAATGTTTGGTGCTCCAATTTGCAGACAGAGAGAAAAAGAGAGGAAAGGACAGACAGACAGACAGACAGACAGACAGACGGACAGACAGACAGACAGACAGACAGACAGACAGACAGGTTAGAAGAGAGAGAGAGAGAGGGAGAGAGAGAGAGAGAGAGAGAGAGAGAGAGAGAGAGAGAGAGAGAGAGAG